TCCAATCTCGGCTGCCGCGGCTGCATTTCCGATGGAGGAGGAAATGTAGGCCCGTGTACTCAGATTTGTGTGCACGTTAAAAAATTCCAGGTGGTCGAAATTTCCGGAGCCCTTCACTACGGCGTCTCTCATATTCATATGGTGGTTTTGGGATGTTAAACCCGAGAAATCAATCAATCAATCATTTCGAGCCCCATAGCGCAACAACTTAGAAGCAGCGGCTGCAGTCACAGCTCCGCGAACCACCGTGCCGCTAACACATCGGCGAGTCCTAAGCGAGCGACGTCGTTCAGCTCGAGCAAGCGAACGCGAGACCTAACACGGCGCTGCTCGCGGAGTGTCTGCCGCCAGCGAACTTCGAACAGGAGGGCAAGCGTATGCTTGGCCACCGCCATGAATAGCGTCGAGCTGGTTTGGAGCTAGCACCGAAAAAATCGACGGTAATGCTGCCCTTTTCCACAACCCCGAGCGAGTGCAGCGCGCAAACGCGAGTCGGCCGCTGCGGCCAACGGACGGCGCCGAGCTGCTTGCGACCGAGTGACGGGAAAGCCAACTGTATTGGTGACCAATTTCCATAGTGCTGAAGGGAACTTTTGCAACACAACGTGCGCGCCTGTAAAAGACGCCGATGGGCCATTTAGCGTTGCGGAATGTTGTGGATGCATTGCGTAATAGAATGAAATTTCGTTGCGCTAGAAAATGATCCTACGCACAGTTATTGTTATTAGGCTGTGGGTTTTCGGCTGCTTCTTCGAAAAATACCAATGAATAGTCACGTGGTTTCCAAGATAAAGTATGTGTTTTTTAAAGTAAACCATCATAGGTCACAAATGCGCAAAAATGCCAAACTCATAGCTATTCGTAGATCCTTACCATACATTTGCTAATTCACTGTTTAAGCTCCTAAGGATGCTCGGCGTAGCATTTATTTGAGTGTTTCTCTCAAAGGACAGCAGCTGAAGCCTTTGTTTGACTTGCCCTCTTCATGTTCTGCGCCCCCCCCCCCGGCTAAACGTTCTGCGCCCACAAAGGCGCGGAACAACTAGAAATACTTGCTATTTATGTGGTACACCCACTCGTACAATGGGAATGTAAACAGGCGCCGCCTTTACACCTCATTTTGTGTGATGATATCATGCTCTCTTGAACTAAACAGCAGAGTGTGTTCTGTGCGAATCACCCACATAGAACCGAAACTCAGCAGTGAGATACGAAGACACCATACCCCACTAGCTCGAAAATAACCAGCCCCACTTACCACGGCATATTTCTTATATAATGACCCTAGCCGGCTGCGCTAACAAACGCCCATTCGAAGCGCAAGTGCCTGCTTGAGTCGTTGCGTTGCTCAGTTAGCATTGTCATTAGGTGCGTGAACACTACAGTGGCCTCTGGCGGAAGGCATGATAGGCAGTGCCAGCGTCTCCTGTCGATAACTCTCGGCGGCGGTCACATTAGTAAGGATATTCAAGGTACTGTAGCGTATTCGAAAATCATTATTCATTATCACCAAGGAATGGGAGGGGGAGATCACCAGGTGGCGGTGAAAACATAGGAGGTCGAATAAACGTCGCCATCTCTGCAGAAGTGCGAAGAAAAAGATAAAAAAATTAGCAGAATTGACGGGAAATAATGGAAACTGTATAACGTGAATAAAAGGAATGGTCAGCTTGGCGAACCAAAGAATCGGTTCCATGCAGCGTTCACCATGCTAACAACATAACGGGGTCGAGAAGGTTCAGCGGTGAAGACAGCGAAAAGTCAATGAAAGCACTCAATAGCACGTTGTAGAACAGTTCTTGTATTTTATTTGTCGCCATTTGCCGTGTCGCAGCAAAGCTACTCGTGCGAGGAAACGGACCTAGCAACGAAGGGTGACCGATGGGGCCAGCAGGGATGTCAGCTAGCCACGTAATGGCGCAGTTCGGGCGGAATGCTTTAGTAGGAAACCCACGTTACACGAGTGCTCGTCACACAGTGCTTTATATTTACATGTTGCACCTCGGTGCGCCTAGCTGTGCGGAACAGAACATGCAAGCCAAAGAGGCGACACTTGGCATGTTCAGCGCGAACCTATATCGAAAAGGCGATAGAACAGGTACAGGTTGTCCTTAAAGAAAACATGGTTGATCCCTCCTTCATAGGAATTGCTAAAACACGAAATTGAAGCATGTCCTTACAGAAACATTTTACTGTTTAGAGTACATTCAGTTAAGTGAACGTGCGCAATGTTTATTAGTATTTGACAGCCTTAGCAGCGCTTAACTGGGATGCATCCATGTTGACGCTTAGTGCTACATCTACATCCGGACGACTAATGCCCTAAGGTCTCCGAATGAATAAGCAAACTTTTCCAGTCATAGATAGTTGTAGTAGCTGTTGTAGTTAACGGTGAAAGCGGAACCAGAGTTAGCGATGTAACAGCCAGAAGAGAGTGATTGATTTCAACGTCGAAGTTGGGCTAAAGTAGCCTACACGCGCCAAGTTGGAATCATTAAATACTTCTCCCCGAACAGAGACAAACTAAACGCGTGTCATGTCTTCCCTGTGACCGGTCACGATAATTCGCGGGTCGAGCAGAAGTGGATAATGCGTAGCTACAATCAAGCGAAACAGGCGCGTTCCAGACGTTGCAAGGCTATATGTTTGTTATGGATGGATGCTATGCGGGAAAGTCGCCACCTTCTGTGTGTTAAGGCGGTGACCGAATTGTACTTCTACAATCGGAAACGTTCCCAATGAGACAGACGCTTTGAAACGACGCGTTCCAGGGACTAATAATGATGCCGCGGTGATGATGCAATACTGCACTTTACCAAGAATACTGTGATAGGACAGTGGTAGATACAAAAGCAGCAATTTTTAAAGCGAAGGAAGTAAACCGTGGCGCACAATAGAGAAAAAGTGTGAAAAGGAGCAAAAGAATGTACCAATGGGAATTTGGTGAGAGTAAGCATTAATAAGCTCAGAGATGACGGTTTTTCATTGAATTTTGTCGTTGTTTTTTTCTCTTGTATTTTGTCAAGTATCAGAGCAGCCTTGATATGCAGAGCAATAAAGAAGTGACTGTGGTGCATTGCATTGTGCGCCCGGCATATTTTGTAGAGGATCCAAAGGTTATTGATTTGACTGCCATTGACCTAACTTTTTTCCTTGTCTTCTAATCGTGCGTAATTTTTGACGTCATTCTCATGAAGCAAATACATCAGTGAAACCTTGATGGATGCCAGCCTAAACATTTTCGTATAAAAAATGCGCAACTTCCACGCTCACATCTAATTGTGGGACCATCTGGCGTTTTAATACGGAACGCCACAATGGACTCTCTTGATGAGCGCCTGCATGCCCTACCAAGAAATGTAGTTACGTTCAAGATGAAATCGAAACCACAGTGCTCACAGGAATCAGCTATGAGCCACCCATGTTGCTGCTGCTTTCCGACAAGCGGTGTTTCCTTGCACAATCGTTCGAGCACCGACTCATCCAGCCGCTGTACACCTTACCACAGCTTAGAAGAATATTCTATGCGATACTGCTGACACACACAATCTACCAAGGGGCATGCTTATCTTACCAAGCAGTGCGCTGCTCATTCACTATCAAAGGGCAAATCCTAGCGAGTTTGCATAGAGCTTAAAAACAGTGTGCGCACTATATTTTGCTCTCAATTTTTTGTTGTGAGCCGGTGAACGTGAGGTATCTTTTGCATACTCATTTACAGAGGCGCATATCCTAAGGGAAAGCCTCGTGCGGCGTTCAGCTATGTCCCGGCGTCCACAACCCTATCACATGACCTGCTACACAGATAAGAAATATCTACGAAGCGAATGTAGAGTATGTAGCGAAGCTTGGTCCTAAGGTTTTTACTGTCTATGTTCGCATCGCAGACTTGTATAAAGAACAAATGGACAGACAGGCGGACGAATTGACACACTGACGCTTTCAAGCAAGTTAACTGAACGTAGTATAGGTTCGGAAATATAGGCCAGTTTTTGTTAGAGTATAGTAGTCATTGTCTAGCTTTGCGCATACGTTCTGTACTTGCTCACACCAGTGTAAGCTCTCATAAAAATGACACTGAAATATTTCAAAGATGGGACTTTTTGAATATGAGTGTTTTTTTATTTTAGGTTGAAAAATTTATTATCAATGCGTTTCTTGCGGTAAGTAAAGTAGGTGACTTCCGCATAGACATTATGTACCTTACGACGTTTCTTCGCATTCTCATCAATCACTACGTGGAGATGCGCTCGTTTCTTTTTTTTTGGCTCTCGCACTTTGTTACCAGTTTTGCACTTCTGCAAGAGGCTTTCGCATATATCGGTGATAACAGAGGTATAAAACTGAATGTCTGTAAGTGTGTTATTTTGATTACTCAGGTCCGTAACAAGTTGATGGCTACATAACTTCAAGAAAGCTCAACTAAGGCACGTGATACCTATGGCTTTCTTTATAAGTTTCAAATGGGCGTTGTCATCCGGCACAATGCTTATCGGAGTTCTAGGGTACCCCATCCAGCACCGGGGCCCTTTTGTTTATATATAGCAACTGAGGGGATTTGTCTTGATGCGATTCCGATGTTAGAGTTCACCAGAATAATAATGGAGGGATTATTTCTGCAGTATCTGCGTCAAGGCAAATGTCAGGCATGCTCAAAAATACAAGATATTCGTCCACGTATCTGTGGATTGTACTAACATTGCTATAGCTGATTTTCGCATGAATGTATCTGTCAAGTAGTGAAAGAAATATTTCGTACAACACCAGGGCCACCAGGCCCTGGTTTGGCTATAAATTGGCTATTCTTCTGTTGATAAACAGTTAAAAGCTGGCGCTTGTTTCTGTCACTTCGCTTCCTCCCCATTCACTTTCTGACGTAACTGTATTTTTCCAAAGTATGAACCTGGTAGCTCAGCAACAGGGCTATTTGACTCGCTACATTATCGCTGCATCTACATCATGTGGGTTACTGTGACTATATCAAACCGCCTTCCTTTCAGAATGGATTCCGCCGAAACAACGACTACGAACATCATCTCTTCAGATTGGGGGGAATCGGCCATCACCGCACTCTACGTGTATTCGCGCTCAGGGTTGACATGGAACAGTGAGTACAACAAAGTTCAACTCATATAACACAATTTAAAGGAAACAAAAACATGACCGCTAAAATATAAAAAACATTTTTCATATATACCTGGTGTTTCAAGTAACAGGAATGAAGGATTTGTAAAATGGGGTATGAGGTACTTGTGCCCACAATAAAAAAAATCATAACTTTCATCTACTTGCATACATATACAACTATACTATAATAGGGTTTCTTTACTCAGGGGATGCTGATATATTGCAGGTATAGTCAATGTCAGCATACTATTGCCCATAAGGTGCTTGCGAACTGAAACATGCATACCAATTACTACCTGAATGATTAACAGAACTACTAACACACAGCAGTGTTCTTCGTTGCTCAATCAAACCGAAGCTCCATTTTGCTGAAAACTTTCTCCATTTATTGTCACTCACCCAACAGCAGCTTCGACTGTTTGCTGTATAGCGTAGGCTATGCTTCTGCACTACACTATGAATGCCGTAAGCTATATCCTGTACAGTACCCGGAACAATCACGATCATGTTGTAAAAACTCAGGAAAAGCTTGGAGGGAATGCAAGAAGAATGCTGGTGTGGATCAAGTGACATCACATCTGCTGAAAGACAGAGGACATATTTTGTTAGAAAAAACTGCCCACCCTATTTACGCAGTGTCTCAAGAAGAGTTGGTACCACAATCTTCCAATATTGCTAAAGCAAGGGAGTTTATTAACAACGCCAAGTAGTAGGCAGCCAGTACGTACAGATATACTCGAGCAGTACAACGTGTACAGCTCTTGCACGAGCTCGCGCTTCGCACTCAGAGATGATCCAACTGGTCATTGCCCTGCGAATTCCCCATTATAATACCCCAGTGATGAAGATGAGCCATCCTGGCGACTCAAGGTGACGAGAGAACAGAGGGGTCGCAGCAGGGCTTGAGGCGACTGACGTGGGCCATCTCACGACCAAGGCGGCGCTTGTTCGTGGGCGGCTGGAGTGGTTCAATCACATACGTGAAAGAAGAAGAGCGCTGTATGACGCGGTAAGGGGGCCAGTATACTTGGATGCAAACTTGGGAGTCAGTCTAGGAGATTGGAAAGGCCGTCGAAGCCACACGAGAGAACCGACGGGGAAGGTGTTCTGAACAAGATCATGGTCGTGGCGATCTTTTTGGAGGGCTTTATTATCGGCTTTGAAGGACCGCGCTAGCTGGCGACACTCATCGGCATGTTCGGCCATTTCAGAAATTGGGCTGAACTTGGAGGTATCAGGATTGTATGCCAGAATTTGGTCGAGTGGGTTGAATGCGTCACGACTACATAAAAGACAAAAAGGGAGAAAAATTTGTTGTTGATTCAATCGAAGTATTGTAAGCGCACGTCACGAAAGAAAGAACGACGTCCCAATTGGAGTGATCGGAATCAATATACATAGCGAGCATGTCTAAGTAGCGTAAGACCGTTCATCTGAGTGTGGTAGACTGTTGATGTGCGATGTACCGTACGGCATGACTGTAGAAGGTGCTGAAGAACTTCGGACAAAAAATTGGCCCCGTATGTGTATGTAATCACCAATGTCGTCGAAAGGCGATAGTCTTGCGTGTGGAGAGAGTGAACAAAACATTCATTTGATGTTCTGTACAAAAAAAAAAAACTGGTGAATGGTATTCCGAAGGCGCTGCGTTAGAGTGCTTCGAGCGTGTAGCGGAGGCGAACAAGCGCATCAAGTCACGTCACACGTAAGACATGAGCGCCATCTGGCAGTTTTTTTTTTTTGGAAAACAAAGCGCATGGCCATGCGCGCCCGCGTCAGAGGTGATAAGGTGTAGAACGCGAGGTGACGGGTATGTGCCACCACCATCCCGTCTCAGAAAAGCGTTGGAAACACACCCCGTTCCGTGCAAGCGTTGCATGGAAAGCGCAGCGTGATGAGTTCTACGGTCCTTGAAATCGCTTATGTATGCGTTTTCTAGTAAGAGATGCATATGCAGAATATATGCGTTTTGTTATGGTGTCCAAGACATGCGCAATATTTGCTTTTCAATTGACAATTGCACAAGCATGAACAACATTGGTGGTCGCTGCGGATGGGGTCGACCGTTTCAAGTACCCGATGCCGATAAAAGTGGAAAACTGACAAATGTACAGACAGACCAAAATTTTTGCGTTGAAGGTCCCCAATGAAGACTATCGTCTTGAAATACATGACCTCTGCTGGAAACGGCACTGTGGACGGTTGCACAGGTTGTGGCGTATACAATGGCATACGAGGAGGAGGCATTGCCGCGAAGGCCACGTAAGTCGGTGGCGCGGCAACAGGTGTTGGTGTAAACGCAGACGTTGGTAATGGCAATGCCTCAGAGGCCTGCTCCTGAATAGCCTGTCTGATGGTCGGTGTTAGGCGGTTCGTTGTGTTTCGGTGGTCAGCAGATACGAGAGACACGAAAGCTGTCGTGTGACCTCTTCACGTGCATATTGTTTTATGTGCTCTAGCAGGGTGCTGGCACGACCGACGGCCAGGGAAGCGAGAGAGTCGTCTGCTGTCGTCGACCTCCGAACTGTGCACGGTGTTTTCCAATCTCTTACAAGCTCTGGCACAAGGTCACAAGTTCGGATACGGTGCTTCGGCCCTTCACCAGCAACAATCGAAAGGCATCGTCGTCTATGCCTTTCAAGATGTGCCCGATCTTGTCTTGTTCGGTCATCTCAGGGTTAAAGCGCCGGCATGAATCGAAGAGTGCGTGATAAACGACAGAAACTTTGGCATTCTGCAACACAGGAAAGGGCCAAAGGCTTAAAAGTGTCGCTAATTTATGACAAATTAAAAGTGGACGGAAAACTGTTCATCTGGGATTCGCATCACAATCGAAGGGTTAGAATGACAAAATCAGTTACGCCTGCACAATGGCAGCCGGAAATTCAAACGAAGAAATGACGGGAGCGTTCTAAAACCCTTCGAATTGTATCACTTAACGCACGCAGCGTTTTAAACAAATTAACTCTTTTGGAAAGCCTAGTACTAAACCACAATCCACATATTTTAGTTATTACAGAAAGCTGGTTGCACGAAGGCGTGCTTGATTCTGAGGTTGTCCCCTCCTCATACAAATTAATCCGCAAAGACAGAACAACAAGAGGCGGCGGAGTAGCGATAGCTATAAAAAAGAATGTGAAGTTTTCCCGTTTAGAGGATATTAGCAACCATGAAAGTGTGTGGTGCCGGATCAATTTCTATGAAAAAAGCATATTCTTGGGCGCAGTGTATCGTCCACCAAACTCTTCCCTGAATATTTAGAGATTATGCACGACTATATTGCACAACACACAAATTCACGTTCGAAGATAATTTTATGCGGAGATTTTAATTTGCCAGGAATTAACTGGCATGATTTGGGTCATGATCACCGAGAGGTAGCAAGTGCGGAATCATTGTTGCTAACAGCGGTTAGTTTCTCATTGTCACAACTAGTATCTAGTGCTACGCGTATTGTAGGTTCTTGTTCATCTATGCTTGATCTCATGTTTGTAAGTAATTCCCTTGAAAACTGTTGTATAAGTGTTGAAGATGGGATTTCCGACCACAAGATTGTTTCTCTTTTGTGTCCTTTAACACTAGTTCAAAAAACAAAGGAATCCAGAGCTACTTATTTCAGGGACTATACACGTGCAGATCACGCTGCTATCTTCGCCCACTTAGAATCGTCGTTTTCTGTTTTCGATAAAATTAACAACGTGGACGAACTGTCGACTTGCTTTAAAGATATTGTGGGCGATTGTGAAGCTCGTCACGTGCCTTTAAAAAGAAAACGCGTTGACCGCGATTATCCGTGGGTGACGCGGGAGATCATACATTTAAAAAGGAAGATTAAAAGGCGACGCAAGTCCGGAAAATCTGATCAACTACAAGGCCTTATCGTTACACTGAACAACAAAATTCGCAGCGCTAAGTCTAGATTCTATTCTGACACGCTTCCATCATTCATGCAGTCTGAGCCAAAAAAGTTTTGGCGCTACTTGTCTAAGCAGCATTCTGATATTACCCAGCTCACATCGTGCAACAAAATTATCACGCAACCAGACCAGATAGCCGATGAATTAAATGCCTTCTTTCACTCAGTTTTCACGCATGGGTCCTCTGGAGCATCTTTACCATCATATCCTTTAATTAACCCTATGCTAGAGTTGCAGATTAATGAAGAAGGTGTTCAGTGCCTGCTCCGCAACCTTGACACTAAGAAGTCTTCAGGCCCAGACAATATTTCGAACACCTTTCTTAATAATTATGCTGACTGGATAAGCCGATATCTACATAAAATCTACACCACTTCAATAGTTACGCAGACAATCCCTAATGACTGGCGCATGGCAAAGATTATTCCAATACATAAATCCGGTTCTAAATTACAATCCAGTAACTACCACCCGGTCTCATTAACCAGCACGTGTTGCAAGGTATTAGAGCATATAATTTTTAAAGCCATTATAACACATTTAGAAACTAACAACCTACTCTACCATAGGCAACATAGATTTCGATCTGGCTTATCGACAGTCACGCAGCTAGCCGAGATTACCAACCACATTGCGAATGCACTGAATGAAGGAGGACAAATAGATGCCGGTTTCTTAGATTTCGCAAAAGCATTTGACGTCGTTCGCCACCCTGATCTAATAACTAAAATGCATGCAATTGGTATTGAAGATAATATTATTACATGGATAACATCATATCTACACAACCGCAAGCAGTTTGTCGCTGTGAACAACCACACGTCAAACCGCCTGAACGTCCTTTCGGGCGTACCACAAGGATCAGTCTTAGCACCAATTTTGTTTCTTATCTACATCAACGACATTCCTATGGTCATTGACTCACCCGTTCAAATAAGGCTTTTCGCAGATGACTGCGTTGTGTACACAAGGGTAAATCGAACTGAGGACCAGATTAACCTTAATCACTCATTAACAAAAATTCAAGCCTGGTGTTCCCAGTGGGGAATGACATTGAACACGC